ATTATTAAGTCTTCAAGATGCTGCTATATCTCCCTGTTCTCCTTTTTATGCTATAAGGTATTAACACAGCTACTTCTTTGAAAATTACAAGAATTACTATCACTATGTAGATAAGAGGCTGACGAAAAAGTAACACAGCTGTCTGTAGATAAAATGCATACATTTTTTCTCCTAAATGTGAGTGCTTGTTTATTTTTGCAAGTTGCTTTTCACAGAGATGAGACTCTTAAGAGTGTATTTTTAAAAGGAAAACATATTTGGCATCTAACAGAAATTTTCTGTGCCTATTGCTTATGTAACATGCTAGAGACTGGGCGAAAGGGACTACAGAACACTTTAGTGGCTTTGTGGTGCTCATTTGTCATTGCCTCCTAAGTAGTTCATTTCTTGCCCTGTTCCCAGCCTTAAAATATTTTATATGTTAGAGAGCACACATTTTTGCATCCCTGTAAAATAAGATTTTCTTATGGTTTGTTTGGCTTGGGGCAGTGGGAATTTTATACTTCCCACAGTCTTTATTTCCCACCCTTCAGCTTGACATAATTTTCCCTTGGGGCTGGGAAGAAAAAAAACCAGTAAATGCAAACACTTCCACATCCTTTCCTTAGTGGCAGTGAAACGAAATATTTGTTTTTGCTACTCTTGAGTGTTTGAAAACACTGTGAGGTAAAACAGCAGGACCTCTTTGAAGTGGTTGGATCATGACTCCTTTGCCCTCCTTCTCCCCCCAAAAGGACTGATTGCAGAGTCCAGTCACAAAGGAGTGTGAAAATAAAGATTATCTCATGTTAAAGAAAATCTGTGAAAAAGGGTCCTGCCTTGAAATATTCGATTTACTTATTTTCCTATGTAAAAAGGCAAAGGGTCCCATAGCATCTTAAAATATAAGATGTTTTATTTGACATAAAAGTTTTCTGTGTCCTACTTTGGGTGCATCTACACCAGGAATCCTCAGACTTTTAAAGCTGAGGGCTACTTCAGACTATAGTTTGAAAAAAAATCATGAACGAATTCTTATGCATACTACACTTACCTTATTTGTACCGCAAAAAAAAAAAACCCCATGAAAGAACAATACAATATTTAAAATGAAGAACAGTTTTAACCAACATGAAATTACATGGAAATGTGGGCCTGATTTTGGCTGATGAGATACACAAGTTATTGTTATTGTTGTTTGCCTTCAAGTCATTTCAGACTCAGGGTGACCCTAAGTCCAAAGTTTACGACAGGGTCCAGGTAAATGACCTTGTAGGCCTGCATCCAACCCGTGGGCCATAGTTTGAGGATTCCTGTTCTACAATGTAGAAGGAATGCGGTTTGACATCACTTTAACTGCCATGGCATAATGCTGTGGAATCATAGAAATTGAGGTGTTGAAGTGTTGAGGTGTTCTCTGCCAAAGAGTGCAGATGTCTTACCAATGACAACTCCCATGCTTCCATAATATCGAGCCAAGGTAGTTATAGTGGTGTCAAACAGCATTACTTCTACAGTGTAGATGTATGCTTTATCAAGCAGGAGGAAGTTTGTACTATCTGCAGTGTTTTACTCATTTGGACATTTCTCATGTTTTCCTGCAATGGACAAATATGGCTACCCTGTCCTCCATTTTCTCTCTCTTTCTGCTTTTTTAATTTTTTTAAAGTCTAAATTGAGATAATGAACAGTACAAAAGAAGGGAAGGAACAAGTCATCTCTTTCTGAGTAGTCCTTCTCTCTGTATTGCACCTTTTTATTTAATCATGTTCATCAGTTCTGTGTATACTTGCTCTTCACCTGCCCACAATGACTTATAACCAGAAGCATGAGTCACACTCCTCATTTTGTAAACTACTAGTTTGCTTCCTGTAGAGGAAGGAAGGTCTTTGGGCTTACTAGGACCAGTGACTCAATCAGAGGTTACCATGGCAGACTTTATAATCTGATTTTTTAGTTAAAGAGAAAACGAGTTTTCTCTGATAGGTCATGAAAGTGCATTGTTGTGATAGCCAGGACAATTCTTCTGTAGTCAAAGAGTATGTATGAGTAACTACTGGAAAAATTTACAATCTGTGGAGCAACCTTGCTCATCCCTGTTATGCTGAAGAACTCTTGAAATAATATTCATGTCTTCAAGAACTACTGCATAAAAGTAGTTATATGTACAACTCATTTTTTTTCTAGTAATGATATTTTGTGGAGCCCTTAGCAACTACTGTTGGAGACCTAGGTTTCCAGCGAGCCCTAGTTAATAAACCCAGATTTCAAACATAATCCACCGTGTGTGGGAGAATTCACGAAGAAGTGTGTTAGACAGCACAGATCTCCTGAATCTAAGTCATTGACAAAAGGTCTTTCTGGACAACTTGTGGTGCTCCAGTAGATGTTGAATTCAGATTGCCCTCAGTCACAATTGAAAGCTAGGAGTAAGGTATTTGTAGCCTAGAAACACCCAGCATAGCATATTTTCTCCACCCATATAGCATAGCATCTCACTTCTCAGATGTTTCGAGGAAGCTTATAGTTAGATCACAAAAAGAACTATACCTCTATTATTGTTGCATCACAGAAAGAGGGGTACTATTTCTTCTAGTTGTAGAAATGAACCCTTGCAAATAAAAAGTGTTACATATTTACTTTTGTTATCCAAATTGCACAGCTTCAAATAGCCTTGCTTGCTTTTGAAAAACCAATTTGAAACTTGGTATTTAAAACTTAGTAAGATAAGTGGGCCTCTTGTCAAGCTAAAAACTTCTGGCTCCAATATGCTCTTAATGCAACTTCTAAGCAAGCAGAACTTTTTGCTGTTTTATTTTAGGTCCTGCAAATAACTGGCCATAATTATTTTCAGGAGCAGTTATACCAGGCATGGGCAAACTTCCGCCCTCCAGGTGTTTTGGACTTCAACTCCCACATTTCCTAACAGCCAGTAAGCTGGCTGGGATTTCTGGGATTTGAAGTCCAAAACACCTGGAGACCAAAGTTTGCCCACGCCCGAGTTATACCATAGCTTATAGCCGGAAGAAGATAGAGCTACTCAGCTTGAAAAAGACTGCATTTTACATGGTCATTGATGTCTATTATTTCTTAATGCAGTATTCACAGTACATGAAAAGACACAGTGGAAGTGAAAGCGAAAAATAAATAGCCAACCTTCTGATAATAGAACATATGTTTGTAGGTATTGTTCTATGGAACAAACCATTTAAATTGGAAAAGTAAAGACAGAGTTGGCTGGTAAGTCTTGTATCAACAAAACAGCCCATCTTTACTTTAGAGGAAATACATTTTGACAAAAACTAAAAAAAAACTCTTTGTAGGGTTTGGCACCCCCATCTCAAAATAGCCCCCCCTCCCCAAAGCCTGAAACTACCAGGAGTGAACATTCCAGTTGCCTAAAAATTGCAGCCATAAATGATGCATTTTGGCCCTCTGGAACTCCAGAGGAATCAGATGCATGGTGAGTGGTATGTCATTCCAGCACGCCCGGTGTACCTACTTGGATATTTGATTGTAAGTGTATGGTCATGTTTTATAGTGGGTCTACTGAGCGGTAAAGATGGATATGTGAATTTTCCCTTTCATACTTGTTATACTGGAAAATAATAAAAAGAATACATCTTTATAACCACCCTCTCTCCCTGAGGGGAAAAATAAGTGGTTTGCATATATAGCTTTGAGTCACTTTGTGATAAGGTTATTGCACTCAAATGTTGACAAATTCATGAAGGCAATACCGAGGGATTGGCTTCCATGCCTTGCAGCTTCGTGAAATCTCTTGTGGAAATAAATCTTCCATTTTGGTCTGTGGTTAGAGTCAGGCCTGTGGTTGAGACAGGATGTGTTTGAACTAGATCTGGGCCCAACTTATAAAATACAGTATCTTGTCTTGAGAGATTGATTTGGCTTAGTGATTTTTTTTAGTATTTCAGCAAGCATTTTTTTCCTCTGAGCTTTGGCTTAATTAACTTAATATTGTTTGGCTTGTTGTTCCATTGTTTTTATGTAAATGTTACAATAAGCTGCCTCGAGTCCTGAAAAATGCACTGAAATCCCAATGTTGGGTTATGTGTAAATAACCCAAAACCGGCGTTACACTGAGTGGTACAGAGAGGATAGTGATCCTTATAGCACTAAACCCTCATCCTCAACCCAGAAACAGCTCTTGAGGTTTTCTGATCACATTGGAAGAGATCTGTTCAGACGGTGGTTCTCAACCTGTAGGTCCCCAGATGTTTTGGCCCTCAACTCCCACGAAATCCTAGCAGATGCTTAACTGGCTGGGATTTCTGGGAGTTGTAGGCCAAAACACATGGGGACCCACAGGTTGAGAACCACTTTGTTAGGACAACAAGTAGGATGTTGGATGTAGCCACTTTAAAAATTAATTTGTTAATGTAATTCAGGAAAAAGATTTGATACCAGTATTGGATTGGAGAATCTTTGAAAGATGACATTCAAAAATTGCCTGGGATAATCAGTGTGGGGGGAAATGCAGTGGATAAAAATATCAGTGTTTATTGCTCTGGCAGTGCTGTCCACTCCTTTTGTTCATAAAATCAATTTTTCAGTGTGTGGTGTAGCTTGGTTCCTCAATGGCACTTTGTGTCAGAAAAAATTGAATTGATTTTCCCATCAGTATTAGTCTGTCTAAACATAACAAAATTGATAGATTTAATCTTTTCAGCTTTGTGTGATTTTACTGTAGCCATATTTACTAAAAAAAAATCATTGGTAATTTAGTATCTCATGACCATATCCAAAACATTGAACTATGCTTCTCAATTAAAGTGTGGATGTAAGAGAAGAGTAGTGATTAAATTTACTTACTGCATGACTAAAAAGGTCACACATATAGCCTCTTTAAATATCCAAGATGCAGATAACTATATATTATTATATAAAGATTGTCTTGCATGTTTAAGATATAAATAATGGATAAATAGTTTGATAACATTTCCATGGTGCTTTACTGAATATATTAATGGAATGGCTAACGATTCTTCCTTTCTTCATAGGGTCGGCATGTCAAGACGGGTCAACTGGCAGCTATCAAAGTCATGGATGTTACAGAGGTGAGTTTAAAATGGGACTCCAGTTCTTTTGAAGAGAAAAATAGAATAAAAGGAATTGTCTGTGTTCTCGCTGCCACACTCGAGATCTCTGCATTGTGACATACATGCATATCTCTGGATTAGGACCAAAGTAGAAAGTAATGTGCACTCATCTGAGAATGTCAGTTCCTTCACAATAAATGTATACCCTTTTTAGGTTACTGAGGAAATGGACCCAATAAAGATCCCAAAGGCCTAAATGCAGAAACATCTGCTAAAATGTTGAGCAGATTGTTGGCAGAATTCAACAGTGTAAAGCAGTAGTTGTAATGGACTCAAGGGGATTTACTGTGGAGCTTTATATGAGAACCGGGAGAAATTAACTCAGCTAGAGAGATAAAAATATACATCTGTAGTTAAAGTCTTATCTTTAATGGCTTTAGTTGAAGGTGTTCAAAAATAGATCGCTTTTTCATTTAAGAAGTATTTTAAACATCAGAAAATGAAAGGGTAGTTCTGAAAATAGTGTTATCTACTGTTATCACACAGACTTTTTATTGTATAATCAGGCAAAAATTATTTATCAGCTGTGTTTTATTAGCTCAGCATTGCCATAAAGCATTTCAGACCAAACAGTCAATTGGTCCAAAACCTATTCACTTTATATTATTCATCTGAAGTATTAAAACTCATTCTCTGTTATTCTCAGAGAAAAAGAATGTTTACTTGGCAGGAAGGTTATGCTATGCTAAATTGAACTTCTTCGAGAATTTCACATTCACTCACTTCAGAAATTTAATCCAGAATTGTGTTTCAATCTGGGTTTGACATCAATTTGCTCTTATTTATGTTTTGTGCATTTGTTTGTGCACATTCAACTAAAATCCCAGTAAGACTCTGAGCTTGTGAGTAAATGATATTTGGAATGATGAGGCAATAAACAAGGAGAAGTGACTAATATATTTCCTTATGACTCTGGACTGCTGTAATAACAGAGCAAGGCTGTAGTAGGTTTCCAAAACACGATGTAGCATACTCTTGAAAAGAACTATATATTTTGTTACATGCAGAGGACCTGAACATGTTGCTGCGAAATATTTTTGAAAGACATACTACTGTAATCTATATAAATAAAAATGTAATGTTCGTTTGTGGGATTAACAGAACTCAAAAACCACTGGACGAATTGGCACCAAATTTGGACACAATATACCTATCAGGCCAACGAGTGACCATCACTCATAAAAATACTGAAACACACAGCAGAAGAGACTTAAAAAGCCACCCCCCCCCCAAATACATTACAACGCATGCTGCTCCCGTACCTTGGGAAGTCTGATCTGGCCACAGTGTCCACGCTCTTGTTACATCCTGAATAGATTACTGCAACGTGCTCTCCGTGGGGTTACCTTTGAAGACTGTTCGGAAACTAGTCCAATGGGTGGCAGCCAGATTATTCACCGGAGCATCATACAGCGAGCATACCACCCCCCTGCTATGTCAGCTCCACTGGCTGCCGATCCAATTCCGAGCACAATTCAAAGTGCTGGTTTTGACCTATAAAACCCTATACGGCTCCGGCCCAGCGTATCTGTCTGAACGTATCTCCTTCTATGTCCCGCCTAGGAATTTAAGATCTTCTGGAGGGGCCATGCTCTCGGGGACGAGGGACAGGGCCTTCTCGGTGGTGGCCCCCCACCTGTGGAACTCACTCCCCAGGAAAATTAGATCATCGTCATCCCTCCTCTCTTTTAGAACGAAATTAAAAATATGGGACCAGGCCTTTGGGTAATCTGGCAGATTGACAAGGAAAATGACAACAATGAGCTTTGGAAAAGGACTATGATAAGCTGAATGGCTCACTAATTACGGAACTTGGCGAAACGATGGCCACCAAGCTGGCTTTTTCTATGAGATTTTATTGTAATAATTTAATGTTTTAACTATTTATAATTACTGTGATGGAGCCCCCGGTGGCGCAGTGGGTTAAACCCCTGTGCCGGCAGGACTGAAGACCGACAGGTCGCAAGTTCGAATCCGGGGAGAGGTGGATGAGCGCCCTCTATCAGCTCCAGCTCCTCATGCGGGGACATGAGAGAAGCCTCCCACAAGGATGATAAAAACATCAAATCATCCAGGCGTCCCCTGGGCAACATCCTTGCAGACGGCCAATTCTCTCACACCAGGAGTCACTCCTGACATGACAATTTTTTTTACTGTGATATGCATTGTATTGTGTTTAAATGTAGGAATCGAATATATGCTGGCTGGAAGCCACCCTGAGTCCCCCCTAGGGGGTTGAGAAGGGTGGGGTAGAAATGCTCGAAATAAATAAATAAATAAATGCGCAAAACCACACACACACACATACACGCAAACACACATATACATGAATATATATACACACATATACACATATATAGACATACACAACACATGTACACAGACTGGGCCACAGCAACGCGTGGGGGTGGACAGCTAGTCATGTAATAAAGAGACATTTCTCTAAAAATATTTATAATGTAAAATAAACTGGAACCAGAGTACTTGGACCCATTTCATTAGCCTTTTAATCATAATGTGGGCCTGAGGCTGCTTTTATTGCCTTGCTGTACTGTAGGGGACCCATGCTGGGAACCAGATGGGGAGTGAAGTCTTACCAGCTCTCTTGGATTTCCCAGTGACTTTTGGTACTAATAACTGTGGTATCCTTCTGGACCACATCATACCAGTGCTTCTCATTCTTTCTCAGATTGTGACCAAGAAATTGTGCTATGGGAATAGTGTTTGATGCCTCATTAATTGGTTTGTGATGTCTCACATAATTCTATTTTATTCCTTTGTTAATTTAATATCTCTATAAGTCCCATATAAGGACCATGCAGAGCTTCTGGGTGATGTGAGGCTAGTATGCGTATGATATACAGTTTTGTTATTCTTTGCCATTCAAAGCCAAGGAGAGGATTGAGGCCCTTGAAGGTTGCCTAAACTACATGAGAAAAAATGTCATTCAGTCTTGACAAGAAGGAATAACCCTGATTGAAAGCAATTTGGGGATCTGGATTGATTCTGTTCTGGAAGAGAATGCATTTCCGCTGAAAAATTAGGTTTGTGGATTAAGAGTAGTTGATTTGGGTACCCCACATATCTCTGTAATGGCAGGTACAAGGAGAGAACATAACCAAGTACTTTAGTGAACCAGCTGCAGTCCTTTCTGAATTACCGTAATTAGAAATAGTTATCCCTTGATCAAATCACATTTAAATAATTGCTAAACACCATTTCTGATTCTGGGGTGTTTTTTTTTTAAATTACAAAACTCTAAATGGCTCAGGGTGGGTTAAGAAACCTCCTGTTTTACTATGATGCTGTCCAGATATCAAGAGGAATAAGGAGTCCTTTGTGTAGATGACGTCTTGGAAGGGGACATTCTATTTCTTGCTCCCAAAGTACATTCTCCCTTCAAAGTTACATTTGTTCTTAGCTTTTCAAAAAATAAATGAAAGGTTTTAAATTGTTGTTTTATTGTTTCTATACATTATGTTTCTTTGATTTGATTTATTATACAGTGCACTGGCGACATTTGTGGTGAGATGGTTTTTTAAAATAAATAATACATAGCCTAAAGGAGTGATTCTCAATCTGTGGGTCCCCAGGTGTTTTGGCCTACCAGCTGTTGGGATTTCTGGGAGCTGAAGGCCAAAACATCTGGTAACCCACAGGTTGAGAACCACTGGTCTAAATATATGCCTTCAACTTCATTCAGTGGTCAGTGTAGCTGTGCCCCTAGCACCACTACAACATCCTAGCTATCTGGCAGGCTACTTACAGGGAAGGGTCTCTTCTGGTCATCAAAAATCCCACACTTATCTTATAGTAAAACTAGTATGTTGTCTATCCACCATGTTTGAGTCAGCTGGGTCCCAAGTACATTTGTAGTATTGCTAAATCTATAGTGGTGGAAACCCAATAATTCTAAATAGGAAACGTCTGGTAACGAAAGAAAGATATCTGCAGAAAATATTTGTTTAAATGGCCAGAGTAGATGTTTAAAATATATATTAGCAAGTGTCTTTTCTTAAAATTGCCAATTGACCTATGGTGGCCACATAAATTTCATAAGATTTACTTAGGCCGAGGATATTCAGAGGTGGTAACTTAGCTTCCAAGATCAGATGGGATCAAGTATCTTTTGGGTAGGCATAGGTAATGCTTAAATATTTGTTGTGAGACCATTGGTTTTGATTGAATTTGTATTGAGCAATCGAATAATCTCATGAACATTTTCAGAAAACAGAAGTACTGTATCCTCCATAAAAAATTGTCAGGAATTTTTGTGGAGGATAGTTCTTTTTTTTTTTTAAACACTTAAAAACAAGTGCACATTCTTATGAAGTGGTAATTTTTGTCTCAAGACATTCATACTTCTGGTGATTTCAGGGAGAAGTCACGCTAATGCTAAAGCATTTCGCCTACTGCCTGGATATAGTTTAAAAAATTAAAAGGCATTCTTAACAGCTTCTAATAATAAGATAAGCTCCTATCTTTAATAAGAGAGGAAAAGGCAAGTACAGAATTTAGAGGTAATGATGCAAAAAGTATTAAAATGGATGTCATTGAAATACCCTGAGCTTGAAAACTGCCCATGTAAAAACAGATTAAATACTTGGAATGTCTTATCTTTCCATAACAGATGTGGAGAGAATTCAGTTAAACAACTGTCCAGAATTGGCAAAAATTACCTGTTGGGAGTCAGCTTATAAACCTCCAACGTGTTTATTCTCCCTTTGAGCCTGGCATGATGATGATGCAACACACTGATTTTAAAACATTACTTTATCATCAAATACAGCTTAATCTTGGTAGTCAGGTTGCTTCTCTTTTTCTTCTAAGAGACGAATTCACTTTGTGAATTTTTTCTGGTATGTATAACTTAAAAATTGTAATAAATGCTAGCAGAAGTGGTGGCTTTGCCTGTGTTTGAGACCCTATAGTTTCTCCAGCCACCTGGTGTTCTTGTT